TCGTTAGATTATGGCCAAGAACATCCAAAAAGTACTTGGATAAGTAACAGGATGAGTTCTTGACTTTTGGAAACAAATACGATTTGAGAATTGTTGTTGCAAGCACAAACCTTAACAAGGATTAGATCCTTAACAATGAAGTCGCTTATAAGCACAAGCTAACAATAAGTCGTGGCTTGAGAATGGTAACATGGACGTGGATCCATGTGTAATGTGCAGGAATTTAAGGAAAAGTTCCATGATCACAAGTGATTAGGGTATCCCAAATCATTGTGAGCCGTTTGAGATGAAACCCAAGCAAAGCATCATCAGGAAGTCATCTAAAATATATGTTGAGAATATTGTTGCCTTAATGGCGATAATAATGAAGATGTTCTATGGAAAGTTCGTTGATGAACGTTAATGATTGTAGGTTGTCAAGTTGAAGGTTTCAATCATGAAAATGAGTGGGAGCCATCACTTGGACAATAAATCCTAAATCACATATAATTTATGACACTCTCAAATTTTATCATCTTATTATGAAAGTGATCAGTAATGAAGATGCTAAAATTAGCAAAGTAGTTATAATTAAATCTATGCAATAAGTGAACGACAACATTCACAATTACATGAAAGAAATCAAGCATATTAGATATTGGTGTGATTTCTATAGATGTTTTATAAAGAGTGATACTCTTAAAACATTCGGAAAAACCATTTATCATAAGATGAACCATTCAGATTTTGGAGTAATTTAAAATTTCATGCAATTTTATCACTCTGTTTGCTATTTAATTGTGGTTTAGGATTAAATAATGAGTCCATTCGATTCCTGGAATATTCAAAATAGGGTATCAAGACCAGTCTTGGTAAGGAAACACCTATTAAGTGAACATTGAATATTATAATCGAAAATTGTCCCTAATCAAGGTCATTTAAATGATGGACGATTAATGACCAATTGAGATTAGTGTGTAGTCTGATTTATAGCACCGTTTCTTGTGCTACAAGGACATGATTGTCATAAATCATTTACACAGGTATTGGTTTAGAACCATACTGGATCGACCTATGAGAATACTTTAAGAGATTAAAAATTGTCATAAGTATACTTCTCATTATTGCTATCGGAACCTATTTCCTTGACCATGAGTATTGTGAGTTCTCTTGTTTGAGTACTATTCCGCTTTGATGTTCTCAAACGTCTGCCGTAATAGGGGATTATAACGGCAACACTCGGGCATCTAAGTCCTCTTAGTAAGAAGAGCTACATTACAAGACTGGGAATGTCCCCCTACTAAAATAGGGAAGATGTCTTTGTTGTATACAAGGCCTCTCGTAGAGCGAGACCGTAAAAATGCATGGCCGTGCTCGGATGGATTTTAGAAATCATCTGTTTATTGACAGTCAGACTCGGAATTGAGAAACACTTCTGGACGTAATAAGGATGACGAAATAATCTTACCTTATAGTTCATGAAGAGACATAAAGAGACATAGGAATGCCTGGGTGGAGGCCGCTTCCGATCAGTAATATTAATGTATAATTAATATTACAGCTTAATCTTGACTGACCCCTTCGGGTCACACCTAAGCAAATATACGAACCGACTCGACGAATTAATTTGAAAGAAATTAATTCGAAAGAAATTAATTCGTCGCTCGAGTGTTAAATATTTAGACGTAGGTAATTCGAGCTTGGAGCGTCAAAACCGAGTGTCGGAGAATCTCAAATGTCGAGCCAAAATTTAGGATTTGGCGAGACGGGAAAATGCTTCAAGTAACAAGTAAAATCCTAGCCACACGAAAGTCTAGGAAAGCGCGCCCAATAGGAGCGTGCCACGTGGCCGCACACATGGAAAAGCGCCATGTGGCAGCACAAGTGGTAGCCACCAAGTGGCAGCCGCCAACTGGCAGCGTGCCACGTGGCAGCGTTCCACGTAGGCAGCATGCCACGTGGTAGCGCACCACTGTGGCGACACATGTGGCAAGGGCCGTGGACCCGGGGCAATGGGTCATGGACACGGGCCAAAATAAAATGGCCCAACCGAACCCAACTTGGGGCTCAAGGTTGGGTGACACATGGTTAGTTCACATTGCATGTGAAATGCCTTGGGGACCAAGTGGGAAAGTGGGTCTCACCTAACCATGTGACACTTGTTACTTGTTCCTTTGTTTATTTAACTAAGGGTTGAATTCATCAATCTTTCCATGTGAGATCTTTTTGTGAAAAAGTCCCACATTGAAAGATGAGTGGAATTCACAAGCTATCCTTCCTTATAAATATCCAAATCATGGCTTGAGAATTCTTTGCTAGAGTGGGATTTAGAAAGAGCATTGCATTTTGGCAAAAACTCTTACTCCATTAACACTTGGGTTTTGGTCGGACCTTGCTAACTACAAGTTAGCGGACCTAAAAAGTCGGTGTTCGTCCTTTGTGGGTGGATACCGTTGGAGGCTCGGTATTTTCAGAGCTGAAGCTTTCAAGTAAGAGCCCATTTGGTTGGGCAAAGCACGCTTCAAAGTTAAATTCCGATTTTATCCTTTTATGTTTATTTGTTATGCTTTATGGTTTTATTAATTGCGAGTGGTTCTTTCGGACGGGATTGTTTCCGCAATAAGTTGGACTTACCAAACCCCAACAATTTCGGTGTTTTTCGGAAAATTTTCGACTTCCGTACTCGAAAAAATTTCTGGAAAATTAGATTTTCTGTTTTCATTGCATTAATAAATTAAATTAAAAGGAGATGATCTAATTAAAAAGCTGAAATTTCATTAATAAAATAAACTAAGAAATTACATTATTGATGGAATTTATGTAAATCTTAATAAAACAAATTAACTTAAAATTTAAAACTAAGTCTAATAAATCGAAAGTTAAGCAATGCTCCAATATTTCTTCTCTTTCTTTGCTCTCTTCCAATTTTTATCCGCGTCCTCTTCATCGTCCATGGCTTTAGCTAGTAGGCATCCTTTAGAGGACCTACATTCAATTTTGGAGTAAATAGTTTCTCCCTTAGCTAGGACTCCATGTTTCTTCTCTACCCAAACCTTCTTCTCTGAGGTGTCAGCTTTTCTTTTCCCTTTATCCTTTGTAGAACTCTTCTTCTTAGGCATCGTAGGTGTTTTGAATTCAACCTTTTCACCCAAGCATTCCTTAACAGGAATCACCTTGTCACCTAGACGACTTTTCACATCAGTCTTACTCTGATTTTTCTTCATGTCCTTTGAAGGTTTCTTGAGAAGCCACCTCTTTACATCATTGGGCAAGGAAGGAGGAACCTTTTGGGTAATCACTTCCCATAAAGGTCTAGGGCTCCAATATGCATCAAATTTTTCTACTTTTTTTGAAACGGGGAATTTATAAGGACGACGAAGATCCCCAGAAGGAATTGTTTGAAGTCGGTCGTACTGTCTTTTTACCTTGCAGGGATAATAAAAAGTCATCTTGGTTAAGCTTGGAAGACGATAGAAAGTTTGCTTGTTTACACCAACCATATTCTCTATTTTCCACCAAGGGATGACCCACTTGATAGCAAAATTGCAAGAGGCAAAGATATTTTTCCACTTATAGCGCCCCATTTTAGAAAAGCGTTTCTTTCTCCTCACAAAGCAATTTGGAGTGTATTTTTCAACATTGTCGGGAGGACTTATTAATTCTAGTCTCTCCATTAGCCACATCTGCAAAAATTCAATGCAAATAAATTAATATTACTATACAAAAATATGTTTTTGATTTCTGTAATTAAAAATATTATTTTTTTACCTGTAATAAAATTGGAGAGCCCCGAAAAGGCGCTTTTGGATTTCTTTTCAATTCATCATGACTAAGCATAGTCTCTCCAACAATTAATGGCATTGGATTTCTCCCAGATTCTATCTGCTCCAAAACAGTTGATATGATTGCTTGGCCCTCATTAGTTCTACCACTAGTAAGAAGATATTGGTTAAGCATGCAAAAGAGAAAAGCCCTTCTTCTATAAACGTGAAAAGATTCAGAATATGGTCTATCAAAGTATTGGCGTGCAAATTCTTTCAAATTAACTATGCTACCATCTAAAATATTTGTTAGATCTTTGTCTCTTAAATTAAAGAAGGCCTCAAAATATTTATAATACTATTCATTATTCTAGGGATTACCGCAAGATCTAATGAAGGGAAGCCTAAAATAGCACCGAATTCTTCCGATAAAGGGCTAATTTCATCACACCCTAGTATAAAACAATGAGTATTCGTATCCCAATATTCTAAGGCAATATTAATGAAGTCTATATCAAGATCTAGCCCCTTGACACCATAGATACCCCCATATGAAAAAAGTCTAATTCTTTTCTCTCTTTGGCAGTTAAAGACCGACACCATTCATGAGTGAAGTTGGTAAAACTCTTAGTAATTAAAGACATGATTATTTTTTCAAAAGCTAAGACTATGTTTAATCTGTTAAAATTATGAAGATATTCGGCAGAACAGGGGGCTATTTATACACAGCATCGGCACAGTTTTAATTCGGAGAGGATTCGGAGTCAGCGTTCTCAAGCGCCAAACGACGATTCTGTCGTCTGGCACCAATCGCCAGTAGCAGCGCCTGGCGCCAACGCAAAACGCGTGGCGCCACGTGGCGCTGACGTGTCTTATCAGCGAGCTATTCAAAAACCACTTTTTCCGGCTATGATTCAAACCGGTACAATGGCTTTACGATTTTATCCCTTCTTAGTCCCTTATAAATTAATTTCATAGATTAATTTCGATTTTTTCTTTTTCGGATTTTATTCAGACTTAATTTTAAGTTTGTTGTAAAGTCCAATTTTATTTTTCATTTTTTCTTTTTTTGGGGGAGAAATTCGGATACCCTCCATCAATAATAAAAGTGACGGAATTTTCGCGCAATAATAAAATTGACGGAATTTTTGCGCAAAATTATTAATTATCACAATTTTTGTACACACAAATATGCACATAAAAATGAAAAATAAATGCAAGATAAATAAAGTTATAATAAATAGATAATAATATGTATATACAAATATGTCTAATAAATGAGTCAGTTAGGCAAAGTTCTATACAAGTCAAAATAAAACAAAACACAGGTATAAACTACGGCACTAGAGGACGCAGATGATGATAGACGCCCATCATATCATAGAACTGCGCAGTACGAGGAGTATACTCTCCACCAGCTCCAGCTCTAGTCTCCCATGGAGGAGGAAAACTCAGCACAAGACCCGTCCACCCAAGGTCGTCCTGATGAACCGACAGAGGCTGAGGCTGCTGCGATGACGAGTCGACCTCGAACATCCCACCACCTCTAGGAGCTGAGGTAGCCTCTCCCTGGCCTACCGACTGAGCACGTGCACCCTTAGAATGAAGAGCCCAAGCCCTCCACCGCCTCGGTCCGAGCAGCCTCAGATCGCCACCCCGATCGCCAGAACCAGTACAGCGACGCCTCGAGCTAGACCTCGCCGACTCTCTCCGAACCTCAGGTCTCGTCCGGGTACGAGAAGAAATGGGTTGACCCTGTAAGAAGAAACCAAGTCAGAAACAATCAAAATAGAAGCATAACAATACAGAAATAAGGAGAAAAGGCTACCTCCTGAACAGCGTCGTCGCGACGACACGTAGCCACATTCCTTATCCGGACGAGCTGGCTCCGGAAGGCGTCTATACACCGTGCCATTGTCGTGACCACCTCGCGCGAGAACTGTCAGAGAAATAAAGTCAGTAACGATGCATGACAAATATGAACAAATTGTAAGTAAATAAACTCACCCGAGTCTAGTGGCGAGGAATCGACTGCTCTACGAAGTGATGATCCTCAGGAGCCGAAGGAATCATCTCCTCGATAGGCCCGTATGTCCCCTGGTATTGGATAGACATACGAGGGGGCACGAACTTAGTAGGCCCAGCCTGACAAAAGCAAGCCAAAGACATTAAAACATCACTTGGGGGCTACTTAGCAAAAGGTAAAAGATGAAAATCATATCGCCGCCTCCTCAAACAGAACAAGGGCCGGAGCTAACAGCGGAAGCATCTCCTCCTCATAGCACTGCCCTAGGACCGCATGAGATCACCAAGGGGTGTCAGCCCTCTCTTACATACAAAGCAGCCTAACGTCATTGAACATGTGACGCGGCGGAGGAGCAGGAACGACGAAAGCATCTAAAGAGTGTTGAATAGCAATCCTCTCTCCAAGGTATGCAACCGCTCCATACATCCCTAAGAAGTAGCGACGCTCAGCAGTGTGCTGCGCAGCTAACCCAGGGATAACCAAGTCGTTCTACGACCGGTACTGCACATCAGGATCCTGTGAAGAATGCCTATGAGATGAGAATCTACTAAAAGTAATAAAAAAGTGTTCAACTATGCAAAAAACCATACCGAGAGGATCTGCTCTTGAACATAGGCGGTAGACATTCGAACGTGGCGGCCTCCCCAGCCGGCGCTCACTGGAAACCCGCGTGGCAACGGTCTCGCCGGCGCGACTGAAGGAAAATACTCGTAGAACCAGATCTAAAAAAGATAAACACTAGTGGAAAAAGGTCATCTGTAACGGGCAAAAAATGCCCATCCGTAACGGGCAGCGTCTGTTACGTATGCGGCCGTTACGGATGACCTTTGTTATTTGTAACGGGCACCTGAAAAGCCCGTTAACCTATTATTCGTAACGGGCTTTTCAGGTGCTCGTTACGAATAACGGGTTATTCGTAACGGGCTTTTCAAGTGCCCGTTACGAATAACCCCGTTATCCGTAACAGGACATGGTTTGCCCGTTACGAATACTTAATCAAATTTTAAAAAAAAAATCCAGCAAAATGCTGGATTTTCCACACCATTTTATCATTAAATGATATATGTAGATATTTTTATACAAATATAGTATACAATTTATATTTCCTTAAAAAAAATGCAATTAATATTAATAAACTAATAACTAAAACTTTAAAAGAACAACTAAATTAAACCAAGTCTAAAGTACACTTGTTTTACTGATTTGAAAAAAAAAAATTACACTTGTTTCCTCTAAAGGCGTTATGTTTTACTTATTTGAAATTGCACAGTTAAGCTACCTTCAGCCAAACTTAAATCCACGAGAAGGGCCTTATTAGCTTTCATAGCGGTTGAGTTGTCCAGCAAAGTTCCATCCAAATGAACTGGGAATAACAGGTACGTTTCATGTTTCCAAGATTTCTCTTGAGTGGCCTAATTAATGCAAACATATTAAATTATAAGATACTTTTAGATATGAATATGCAGATGCACAATCTACAAAATTGAGAGACCACTACACTGCTACAAGATTGTTATCATGATCAGCAACTTTACTATACAGCAACCAAGAACAAGAACAAAAAGCTGATGAAAAAGATACTTAAGTTTGAATTTTCAAGCATATCAACATGCACTAGACAAAGATAGAGATATCCTTTTGAATTTCTGAAACAACACTAGATTAAAACAACTTCCAGGAAGTATTGAAAAGCCTTACACTGAGATTTATAATTGATTGTGGATTCAAAATAATTGATTTATTTATGTACATGCATACATGCTTTCAAGTTTCAACACCTTGTAATCCGGATTTATAACATACATAAAGCTCAAGGAGGGGAAAAGAGAAGGACCTTAACACAGTCGATTACCTTGACTTTGATGATAGCATGATCAAGAAGGGGAAGTAGATTGGGATATGTAAACAGGGAGGAAACTCGGATCTCCTCCCTCAACAAGTCCAGCTGCTTATTATTTTGAATCAATACTTTCTTCATAGCATAAGTCCCATCATCTAAAAAAAGGTTCATTTCGAATTTACATCAGATATTAACAAATCGAAATCAAACAGACAAAAAATTACAAATAATCACAATTTCAATACAACTCATACATTATTAACCATATTAAGATCAAAATTCCTCATAAGTCATAAACCCACAAATCAAAATTCAAATCAATCAAAAAATCACAGTAGCTATGACAACTGCCTCTAATTCACCTTGTTTACAGGTTGAACTAGAGAAGACCTCGTCTCCATGATTCCTAGTGAAAGGAAGAGATTCTCCAGGAAGAGATTCCACATGAAGCCAAGAAACTTCAAGAGTTTGCTCTCGTGTTAATTCCAGTTCAACGGTATCAGATCTGAAAAAAGCTTGATTAGATCGACTGGAAGTTAATGAACACAGTTAGTACTTAATTTTCTTCAAGAGTGAAAGAACAATGGATAAACCTTTTTTTCTTCTAGCTTGTTATGTCCAAAAAATTGAAGACGATTGGTTGCATCGTCTGAAGTCAGACCTTCTCTTAAGCATCTCAAACTCTCAAACACCTCCTCTATAGGAATTTTCTCCTGCAAAGCACACATGTTTAATCATTGAAAACATGAGCCCCTCATAAATCATTATTAGATAGTGTTAAAACCATTTTTTTACAGAACGAATTAGCATAAGTTAAAGAAGCAAAGGGTGAATAAATCAATAAAGTATCCAACAGATCAATTCTCTATCTTACACCAGGCAGTGCTCCACAATTGACTCTCTCTACCTCATACTTAGTGATATAAATTGACAGCTTTAAGGCATATAATATTTATCTTTCACTGGAACCCACACCATCTTATCCCATAACACGAGCCAGGCAACTTTTTTAAATAGGACTTGAACTTAAAATTAAAAACTAACACAACATTGTAGAACCTACAACATAATATGTAGGAAATGGAATCCATAGTCCATATTCATGAGACAAGACCCTCTAATTAGTAACTATTGCAGTAATTCTTATGTATTTATATTATTAAGGTACTTAATTCTGCCTGTCTTCAAAGCCTTGACTGAAGTACTATCATACCAATGTTCTTCCTAAAGGCTACTTAGCATCAAAACTTGACTGCGAATTAAATCCTTCCTTTGACCTTCAAGCACACCGAATCAGGAACTAGCTATTACTCTATTAGCCTTCATTAATGAAGGCATCTCAACAGTTTGTTTTATTCCCAAAATCACGTAATTCATACAATATCAACCTCACACAGTAGGAGGGGCATTGCTCTGGCCATATGACCTGTAAAGCCAGAACAAATCGATCAGTGAAAATGATTACTATTATTTTTCACCAATTCATCGAATAAGGGTAAGTAACAAAAGCAAGCACTCATTACCTTAGAGACAAAAGGCATTGACTATTGTCACCCAAAAAATATGCAACCAAACACTTCCTGATTTCATAGCTCTGTATATATACTAGTTGCTTGAAACGACTAATGACATTTCCTCTCCCTTCTTCCCACTCCTTCTAGCATAAGAACACCACCATTCATTCATCCAGAAATAAGTACTCTCTAATTCTCATAATTATTTTTATATCACACCTCCAATTCATTTTTCACAATCACAATAATAGCGCATTTGTTGAATTGTTCAAAGTACTCAAATTCTATTAAAAGTTCATCACATCAACCAAATAAAAAAAATATATCACAGAGTGACAAAACACAATTCTGAATTCCATATTATACAAAATCTACTCAAATGAATTTTCAGCCAAAAATAAACAATTATTCAAATGAAAACTAAACCACAACATTAGAAAAATCAGTTAATGCAAAAAAACTACTCAAAATGAAAATTCAGCCAAAAAAAACAATAATTATAACAAATATTAGAAAATTAGATTACACAAAATAGACTCAAAATGTGATGAAAGATCAGCTAAAAACACAATTATTCAAATGAAAATTAAGCCACAAATATTAGAAAATTAAGATTATACAAAATTTACTAATTCAGCCAAAAAAATATCAATTGAAACGAAAATTAAGCCATAAAAAGTAGAAAAATCAGATGATTCAAAAACAAATTAAAATAAAAAGCAAAATAAAAATAGAAACCGAGTACCGCGATTAGAGTCCTCATGAACAAAGGAGATATCAAGTAGAAAAACACCAGGATCAATCGAAAGATAAACTCTCTCCCATTCAGAAAGCAAGTCATCGGACTTCGCCGGAAGAATAGTCAACAACAGCGACATTGACAACGACAAAGCGCAGTAGTTCGAAAATGGAGGCTGTGAAATTGAAGACAACTCGCAATTCAAATTCGACATTGACAACGACAATGAAAGCGCAGTAGTTTTTTTCTCTAAGATTGATGGAGGAGATGAGAGGAGAGGAGAGAAGGACGGGGAGGAGAGAGAGAGGATGAGAGGAGAATGACGGGGAGGAGAGGAGAGGAGAAAGAGAGAGAGGAGAGAGGAGAAGAGGAGAAATGACGGCTATTAGGTGAAACCCTAAAAAGCCAAGTAATGGGCTCCTCTATAAGTTGGGCCAAGTTACGTGTAATATAGTATTTGTAACGGGCAAAATAGTGTCTGGTACGAATACTTATTTATTTGTAACGGGCACTTATTTGTCCGTTACAAATACATACGTATTCGTAACAGACATTATTTTGCCCGTTACAAATAAATAAGTATTCGTAACGGACACCATTTTGCCCGTTACGAATATCTTAATTGTAACGGGCAAAGCTTTGCCCGTTACAAATAGCCTGTTATGAATGAGATTTTTTCCACTAGTGAAAAAGTATCAGCAAGTGCTAATAAAATCTTAGAGCTAACTTTATGGGAGATAAATTATACCTCTACAACTCTCCAGAAGCTGGACAGATCGACGTTCCCCGTAAAGGACTGGTGTCAACACAAGTCTCTCAACGCTCGAACAAAATCAGCATAGGCCAAGCTAGCCCAGTCGTAAGTCCCGATCAAGTGAAGACCACGGACTACAGGAAGGTAGTAAATCAGCACTCTACTACCCTTGTCAGGGGAAAACGTTCCTGATAGCAAGATAAACGCAAAGATGCGCACCTGCTGCTCTCGGGTGGTCGCATCATCCTCAAAATCTACCGCCAGAGTCGACCGGTGAATACCCTTAGCGTTGAAATGTGATGACTCCACCTCGGCACGGGCCCGAACAGCGATCGAACCCAGCAGCTCCTCAACCTCAGGAGAGTAGACGCTGATGTTGTTGTCGAACAGCAGCGCAATATAACTAAACTCCAGTCCCGTAATGAGACTAAAGTCGGTTGGGGTGACCATCATCTCACCCCAAGGAAAGTGGAAAGTGTTGGTGGTGTCCCAAAAGAACTCCACCAGGGCGCGAGCTACGCGGTGACCCCTGTCAGAAGAAATCATGGCCTCTGCGGCCTCGAACAGGGCAGTCAGCCCACAAGAATCCCAGAGAAGTCTCAACTCCCCGTCGACGCTGATGTATATCCTATACAGGTCGCCCAAAGTATCGTTGCCCGAACCTTGGCAACGCATCCTACCATCCGTAATCCCACAACGAACCCTCTCAGAAATGTGGTGGTCGGGGGAGAAGTACAAAGTCTGCTCATCCCACTCAGGGAGGGGACCGAGAGAAGTGGACGGGTCGACGTCCTCCTCTACAGGCTCATGCTCCCGTCATGTGTCTCAGGACCGTGAACCCGAACCTCGCTGTCTAGCCATACTACATTGTGCAAAATCAACATAAATTAAGGTTCTATAGTATCTAAGGTTCGCCTAGTCGCATGATACTATGTTCGCAAAAAACAGAGTACGTAGTACTAAAACAAAGCATAATTTCAATTTGAGCAAATACGACATTTTTCAAGCATCCAAACAATTTCTTGCAATACTATGGTAATTGTTGTGACAAATTGGACAAGAATTGCTAGCAAAACATTAAGAACAAGCCACATTGTCTTCCCGACCTTTAGAGGTCCAACAATGGTGATTTGTTCGTTTCTTCACCAAATTGAGTCAAACAAGTCTCAGATTACTCCTAAGGCAGTATATAAACATAATCAAGCAATTTTATGGCATAAAATTTGACAAACAAAACGAATTAAGCAATTTAAGGTTCGAATTTTCCCAAAATTCGTGAACAAAGAATGTCAAATTCATTAAAAACTAGGGTGATTTTGAAGAAAACTTACATAGATCGGGAAAGTAGATGAAAAGTGCTTTGATTTGCAACATAGTTGGGCAAATTTGGTTGAGAAACGAGCAAGAACGACCAAAGAGAAGTTCAGCGGCGATTTGCGAAGAAGAGCAGCAGCAGCAGTAGCGAAATGAGGAAGAAAGGGGATATATATGGGAATCCCGACTCTGGCGCCAAATGAATGCTTTGGCGTTTGACGCCAGAGTTCAGCGCCTGGCGCTATACCAGCGTCTGGCACTAGAGCCAAATCGTGGCGCCATCAACTTTTCAGCGGCGACAGAATGCTCAGCTACTCAGAACGGATATTTTGACTCTTACAACAATTTTGGGTTCCTTGGTACGCCAGTTAGCCCCTCTAAGAAATTTGACATGATTTAGTAATCGGCTCGGTTACAATCGCATTAAGTGATCGACCTGATGAATGGTCGTCTCACTTAGCTTAAAGCACCTAAGCATTGGCTCATCAGAGGCACCGACGTAATGTTCATAAACAGCAAAGGCACAGACATAATGGTTCATAAACAATAGAGGCACCGACACAATGGTTCATATACAGCAGAGGCACCGACGTAATGGCTCACAAGCAGCAAAAGCGCCGACGTACTGGCATGGCGGAAGCAAAGTTCAAGTGAGCTTTTAAGGATTGACAAGCATTAGTCTTCGATAATTTTCCTCGGAATATTATCGCAACAAATGAGGATGACTTTAAGCGAGGATATCTTCAACAGTGTTCCCTAGCTTGCGGAGGGTTGTCACAAACAACTGGAGGATAGTTTCAGGCGAAGCAATCTTTGATGGGGTTCTCTAGATTTTAGAAGTCTATCACGGCGGAAATGGAGGCAGTTACAAGCGTAGCAGTCTTCGGGCGGTATTCTCTAGCTTGTAGAAGATCGTCAAAACAAACAGCACAATGGCATTCCCTAGCTTGTGGAAGGTTGTCACAACAACGATAAATGCAGCAACAAATCGGTTACCTTAAGAGACGTGTGCTCGATGGTGCAAGATACGCATTTCTTAACTCTTTTATCTATTTAACGAACGCTAGTTTTGCAGGTATTGACATTAAAAGAGTGGTTTAAAATGGTAGAACATTCTGAATCATTCTCCGTCCCTATCGATACTTTGACTTTTGTTTTTGAAACTTGCGTTTCTCCAAACTCAGTCAAAGTGGGGGATTCAATAGAAACCCATTTGTGTCTCCCCAATACCAAACCCAGTGATGAGTACCTTTCATGTCGAATCATAATAGAATGAAGCAAAAATGTGGAAAGTCTAGTGTTGCGGTTAGTTTTTTTTTCTTTTCTTTCTCTTTGTTTTTGAAAACCTATTTTAAGAAAACATCCAATCCAATTTGTTTTGGTCCATGGCAAGGGTTCAATAATAGTGTAGTTGGGTCGGGTTCGAAAAGAGCTTTCCAACGATATATTATAAGCCCAATTCCGATGAATAATGAGGAAGTTATGGCCAAATTACTAAACTGTGCCCGGTTTGATATTTATGTGCGACCTTATGATCTAAAGGAGGGCCTAATATTGATTTATCATTCCTAATGAAATTATAATTGATTATAGTCTTCTATATTCTTCTACAAGGTTCTTTTCATTCCTAATTTAATTAGCATTGATAAATTGACTTTAGTTGACTTTTAAGAGTTTTAATCAGAATAAAAGAAGTGTTTTTAAGGAAAATACGATTTTTCCCTCCTGTACGGCTAAATTTTATCAAATTAAGAAAACGCGTGGAAACTGTTTTCTAGCGCTTGACGACAGGACCAGCGCCTAGCGCCAGGCTTGGCGTCTGGCGCTAGACCTGGCGTCTGGCGCTAGAGTCTAGCATTTGGCGCCAAGTTGTTTTATTCTTTTCGAAACTCTGATTCGTTTTTTTATCCATCCGGCTGATTTTCTCTATAAATAGCCTCCTAAAACCTCCATTTTGAATCATAAAAAATCTTTAACTCTCTAGTTTTCAATTCTAATACTCTCTTCAATATTATCTTGATTACTCTCTCTCTCTCTTTTCTAAACTAGATTTTTCATACAAAATTCCGCATTCACAAGATTTAGAAACACCTAGCTAAATTCGAATTTGCCTTCACCCTAGATGTGAAAGGTTTTAATTTATGAGGGTTTGGTCCCAAATCTCTCTTTCAATTATTTAATTTAATTGTTTGTTTTATTATTTTCCTTGAAGTTACTAACACGTGTATTTTGTTATTAGAAAGAGGTATGAGGCATCCAAGTAAGTACTTTAATTGTTTGCATTGATATTATGATATAGAAATCATGTCTAGGTTGTTATTATTATTCCTAGTATCATGTTAGGATGCTTGATGTTTTGAATGACAACAATGATTCCTAGTATCATGTTTAGGGTAAAGAATAAGTTCCTTAGATCAATTATGATTGTTGCGATGCTTCCTATTTTCTTTCCTAATATTCATATTAGTATCATGTTAGGGTTAAAGCTTTGATTTTGATGTTTTGATGACATGCTAGGGTTTGTTATTAATCTTGTTAGTATCATGCCTAGGATCTTGCTATTAACATTATGCTTTAACATGATTATGATTATGATTGTTATTATGATTTATTTTTATTATTGTGATTATTATTATGTCGCTTGATATATATTTATTGTTATTGCTTGATCACACCTATTATGCATTCTTAAAGGGAATTGGTACTTGTAATCACGCTTATATAAGATAATTAATAATCTTGTTTAGGGTTAATATGACTATAATTCAAGTGATCGCCAATAATAGTTTTGTTTGTGCATTAAATTCAACCAACATAGATTAAACAGGTTTAGGGTTAAACCTATTGATTTCATGTTAGTCAGAAAGCGCACATGAATACGATCAGAATAAAGTAGAGGCCTATTATTAGGGCAGGTTCAATCTCTTTTAGGTTGAATTTGTACCTTCATCCCCGAACTACCATTCATAGTTACAGACCTATTGGAGTTGACGATCTCCTGGATCATTAAGGGGTGTAACCTTCACCTCGTGAACGGTTTACAAGTTCCTAAAACTTGTAGGCGACTCTTTTGCTCTATCTTCCTTCCCTTTGGACGCCACCGTACTTTAGTGTATGATCACAGTGGGGTTCAAGTTTGGGGGTAATGCTTGAAATATTCCTTATAGTGAGACTCCACGCAATTTTCAAACGCGCTTCATTATCGCGCTCGTTCTCCTCCACCAGGCGGCCCTGCTCCTTAGAAATTTCATCTTGCTGCTGGTTCCTTGGGTTGACCAGCTCCACCCCCAACTGGGCAAAGTCCGCCCGGAGCTTTGAGTTATCCTTATTAGAGTCCTCCAATGCCTTGAGATTAGATTGAGCATTCTTCAGTTTTAGCTCAAGGTCAATGGCCCGGTTGTTG